TACACACACATATATACATACATATATGTATATATGTATGTTTGGAGCTTATACAGAGAGTATATATACACATGACCGAGGACAGGAAAGTGATAAAGTCACTGCTAGTTTAAAATCAGCTAATTTGAATGTATGTGAGAGACACAGGATGAATGGAGTGCATGGTTACATTTGCCAACTCATGCATCCAGAGATGGTATCGTTTCTGAACACTTTGATTTACTCAAAGCAAACCAAAATGGATTATGAGGAGGCTGGGAAAAGACAGAGTGCATGGTCCTCGATGGTTCAATGGGAGCACTGAAGCCCTTCCTTTAGGCTGCTACATTTGAGCACAACTGTCCACTGCAGTGTAACCAAGGACTTCTCGGCTGCAGAAACCAGACATTCGTGGAGAGCCCAGAAGCCTACTGATATTGTCAGATATGTTAAAGATAAATGACTTCCTCTTTTCCCAGGTTTTTGAAATGTTGGCAAGTGACTATTTCACACTAGTATTCTAGGCCTTTCTTCCTTCCTTCATATATATATATATATATATGAAAGAAGGAAGCCCTAGGATACACACACACACACACACACACACACACATATGGGTTTTGTTTGTTTGTTTGTTTTGGTTTGTTTTTCAAGACAGGGTTTCTCTGTGTAGCCCTGGCTGCTCTGGAACTAGCTCTGTGGACCAGGCTGGCCTCGACTTGAAGATTCTCTTCCCTCTGCCTCTCAAGTGCTGGGATTAATGGTGTGTGCCACCACCCCCCTTCTTTTTTTAATGTATTTATTTTATGTGTATAAATGTTTACTCTGCATGTATGTCTGTAGCCACATGCTCATCAAAATCAGAAGAACAGGAGTTACAGATGTTTGTGAGCCACCATGCAGATGTTAGCAACTGAACCCAGGCCCTCCGTAAGCCAGTGCTCTTAACCCTTGAACTAATTCTCCAACCCAGGTCAGTCTTTCTTTGTTATGTAAATCTAGGGCTGAACTCAAGGCTTCCTACGTGCTAGGCTGAAGGAGTGAGTCCTAAGGACCTATAGTCTCAGCTCCACACCTTTTTGAGATAGCAGAAGAATTGCCTTTTTAGCAGAAAGCTTCTGACATCATAGAGATCATGTGCCTGAGTGAAGATTTGCAAATTAGTCTATCTTTAGAGAACGTGTGCTCATTTGAAAGTCTAAGTGGACCTCAGCTCTCCCACACATGACAATGTGGCCTTAGGCACTGGACAGTCATCTGGGTTTCCTAGTTCCCTTGGTTCCCAGGATATGACCTTCTCTTCTGATGTTCTGTGGGTGTGGGCATTCACTGTTCGTCAGGTGTCGGTAGGGCCAGAATCTAGGCTTATTAGTCTCAAATTTTATTTGCTTTTTTGGGGTGGAGGTGGGGGATAGGATCTCCCTTATGCACCCCTTGCTAGCCCAGAACCCACAGTGTAGCTCAGCCTAAACCATGAAGCAATTCTCTTACTTTGGCTTTCTGGGTTCTGGGATCACAAGAATGGCCACCACCACCACACCCCGCATGGCTTCTTCCTGAATTCTTAAGTGGGCATGCTCACTCCGCCATATGAAGCACCTGCACATCATTCAAAGGCTTGTTCTCCAGCTACCCCGTCCACTTCCTGTTACCAGCCACAAATACTTGGTAAAGCCATGAAGAATGGTCCCTCGAGCCCAGATGATTGAATCCTAGTGTTTACCAGTATGAGGCAGCCAGGCTGCTGAGAGTTTGGGACCGGGGGGGGGGGGGGGGGGGGGTCAACTTCAAAGAGCTTCTGATTTACTTAATAAAGCAAGATGGGTGTACTGACTATCAGTAGGATACGGCTAGAGTGCCTGGTTTCCCTTTTTCTAAAAATCACAAGTATTTATTTATTTTAGTCATTTAGTCTCTCTCTGTGAGTTTACAATTTGAGGGAGTCAGTTCTCTCCTTCCAACGTATGGGTCCCAAGGACTGAACTTAGGTCATAAGACTTGGTGGCATGCACCCTGACCCCCTGATCCACATAAGTCACTGCCCATGCTTTCCACCCATGAGTGCTTTTGTAAACATCAGTGTTATATGGAATGCAGCATTGGTCTACACTGGCTGACACGTTTAGTGACGAGCACCAAGGCCATTTTCAATTCAAATGCCCCTTTCTTTCCTCTGGAAGCAGTGGCAATGCCAGCAAACCCATGTGCAGATTAATGGACATAATAACTGCAGCCCATAAGACTCTTTGCTCAAAATGACAACGTTTGGTCAGAATCTGCTGTTGCTCAGCCACCTCAAAAAAGGGACAGGGGTGTCAGTGAGCAGCAGTGGAACCCTAAGAGTTATCTTCCCCAGGTGGAATAATTTCCCAGGATTATATCGTATTGTGGAAGGGTGACTGGAGGAAACATGATTGCAGGGGGCTTGTACTGTTGTGGTGGTTTTTTAGTTGGGTATCAAAATGTAGAGCACTGGCCTCAAATTCTGGATCCTCCTGCTTTAGCCTCCCCAGTGGGAACTTATAGTTTAAGGTCTCTTCTTGCTTTCATTATTTATTGGGTTTGTTTGTGGGCTTTTTTTTTTTTTTTTTAACACCCTCAAATTGTAGTCCAAGCTTATGGCAATCCACCTGCCTCAGTTTCCTCAACTGAGAAAATAGAGATGCTTTTTTAAAAAAAATCAATTTTGACAGTGAATAACTCAGGCTGTGACTAATGCTAGCTTTATGCTTATAGAATCATAATGTGCTCAAAGGCAAGGTATGCATGTACATGGTATGCATGCCTGTAACCCCAGCACTTGGGAAGTAGGGGCAGAAGGCTCTGCCGGTAAAGGCTGTCCTCTGTTACACAGGGAGTTCAAAGCCAGCCTAGACTACATGAAAGGCATCTCTCAAAATAAAATAAAATATACAAAGGATGCTGTCTACCCACACGGGGAAGTGTTGTAGCTGCAGCTAAATGTCGGTAGGTGGCTCTGCTCCTTTAACTAAAACTGAGTTTGCAAAAGACAGAGAGGGAACACAACCCACTAACAATAAACAATATTCTGGTCTCTGGTTTAGAATAGTTTGGAGGCTTGAGAATTAAAACCAGAGGAAAAAAATTGCAAACTGTATATGAATAATCAATTTGCTAAAAGACCAGAGGATTTATTATATTTTGAAGAACATCAATTACTAAAGGGAAGATGGATTCGTTTTCATAATTTACTGCCATTTAGAATGAAAGGAAAGTAATCGTTGAAACCTTCTGAACATGCATTTATCTGAAACTATATACTTTTGGTCACTTTACGGAAATGTTAGGTGTTTAAAGTTTGTGTGTGTGGAAGCTTGCCCTCTAGGTTCTCAACTTTTACTTAGTTGTCATCTTAGCTTTATACTTAAAAAATAGCCAGTAGGGCATTATTTTAATTGCTTTCCTAGTTCATAGTTTTCAGCCTTGTGATCATTCCAGGAGAACTCTGTTTAAAACCAAAGGACTTTGTTTCAAGCCCTTTGGAAAGACGGGAAGCCTACTTTTGTTTTTATCTACATAAAGAAAAATGTATTTAAATTTAAAATGTAGTTAAAGAATCTTAATTTTTTTCCAGATTTTTCCAAAAACCGCCAAAGACGCGGGTGTTTTCCAGTTGCAGCGATTCCTCTCTGGTTCCGGAGAAGATGACCGTTTACAGTTGGAGGGAGATGTGCACTTTAGGCATTCAAGTTTGCTAAAAATTCTCATTTGAAGTCTTAAAATTACATTACTTTATTTATTTACTCTTTTATGGAGGAGGAGAGCGCATATCACGGAGGCGTCCTTGTGGAAATCAGAGAACAATTTTCGAGCGCGTCCGTTTTCTCCCTCGACTCCAGGGATCCAACTCAGGGTTTTGGGGTTGGCAGTAAGCGCCTTTGCGTGCTGTGTCGCCTCGACCGACGGACCCGTATTTTTATTTTTTAAGTACAAAACTAACACTATCATGAAAATGAATGCTGGGGCGGGGTTCTGGAGTAATGTTCTCAGCTGTCAGACTGTAATCCGAAAATAGAGAATTAAAAAAAAAGCAATCAATCACTCCTCCACTCAGATGAGAACTTTTGAATCTGTTTTTATCAAGAACACGTTTAGGAATATTTTGGATGGTAAAAGAAGCTATTTTCTCACTGTCGTTTTGAATCAGTACGTAATGATTGCGTGTCACGCTAGTTGCTCTCCCGGTGCGCAGAGAGAACCTCTTAAAACGTGGAGAAGCTGGGAATAAAACAGATACCTTGGCTGTAAGCGATTCTTGTTCCGTTTAAATTACTTCAAGCGTTCGGCTTTTAAATGTTAATTCCAAAGCCACTTATTTAGCCGTCATTGCAAACGTTTACCTTTTGAAAAATAAAACCACATCAAAAGTCGGAACAAACCGGGTTAAAAATGAACAGTGTTTTCCAGATATGAGTAAACGCACAATTTCACTAGAAAGAGGAATCGCCACAGTAAGAGGAGGCGACAGAAATGAGAGAACTATTTCACACCTGGCCCAAGGGTGCCTGTCGGGTGGCCATTCACATCTATCATTTTTGACGGCAAAGAGCCGATCGGTCGAGACTCAATGGGAGTGATATACTGATATGAAAAATTCGAATACTCCTCCTTTCCCCTCCAAAAAAACAAAGTTTAAAACTTTGGGGCTTAATAGAAAAGGGACAGCCGTGCAGATGCGGGTCTCTCTTCTTGTTTCAGAACTCTGTATTTTATAGTAAGTGGTCGCACGCGAGCTAAGATGGGAGGACAGAGGGGGGCCCGGAGGACACGAGGTCCGGGATGGAGGAAGGGAAGGATGGAGGAGCGCTTTTCACCTTGACTTGCGAGCAGCAGGAGCGGGGCAGGCGGGGCCGAGAAGGCTCCTCGCTGCTCCCGAGCACGTGGGGCGTGGCGAGGGCGTGGATTACTGAGCCGCCAGGCCGGCAGGCATAAGAGGCGCGGTCCCCCGCCCTGGCTGAGCTCCCCTGCGCTCCTGGTCCCTACGCACGGTGGAGGCCGGGACGGGCCGTTGGGTTGGTCCTCCAAGGGATGCTCTCCCCGAAGTGCCAAGGCCAGCCCCGTTCTCCCAAAGCCGCGGTCGCCCCGCACCAGCCCTCGGCCGCAGACATGGCCCTCTACTGCGGCGACAACTTCGTGTACTCACAACCCGCCGCCGCCGCCGCGCCCGGTGCGCCCCCGGCCTCCAGGGCGCCCTACGGGCTGTCCGATTACGCCGCGCCACCCGCCGCCGCCAACCCCTACTTGTGGCTCAACGGGCCCGGCGTGGGCGGCCCGGCCTCCGCTGCCGGCTACCTGGGCGCCCCGCCGCCGCCCCCCGGAGCGGCTCCCGGGCCCTTCCTGCAGCCGCCGGCCGCTCCGGGCACCTTCGCGGGCACCCAGCGGGGCTTCGCGCAGCCATCGGCTGCTGCCCCGGCCTCGCCCGCCGGCTCGGCAGCTCCGGGCGAACTGAGTTGGCTGACGTTGACCGGCCACGAGGACCTGATGAAGATAGTGCGTCCGCCCTACTCGTACTCGGCGCTCATCGCTATGGCCATCCAGAGCTCTCCCGAGCGCAAGCTCACCCTCAGCCACATCTACCAGTTCGTTGCCGATAACTTCCCTTTCTACCAGCGCAGCAAGGCTGGCTGGCAGAATTCCATCCGCCACAACCTATCACTCAACGACTGCTTCAAGAAGGTGCCCCGCGACGAAGACGACCCAGGTGAGAGGGCAGGGCAGGTGTCTCCCGGCTGGGCAGGAGTAGCCCATCTGCGAGTGCTTTGAGCTGGAGCTAGCTCAGTATCCGGTCTGTGCGCCGCTGGGTTGAAAATCCACTCGGGATCTTCTCATAACTGAAGAGGAGAACATGTGGGTAGAGACACCCCAACCTGGTCTGATAGGGAGCTGGTCCCTTACATTCAGGGCAGAAGCTGGCTGGCGGGCTAAAGAAAAAAAAATTAAAAAAGAAAAACAATCCATGCCCTCAAACAGGAGGCCCCTGCAAGTGCAAGGGTCAGCTTAGTTACTGGAAGTAGATTGGGAGAAAGAACAGGAGGAAAAAGAACTCCCCAAGAGGCAGCGTGTTCTGTTATCACCTGTTGCAAACGGTGAGATGAGAACTTTGCGCCTGGCTTCCTTCTTTGAATTGAGCATCTCACTGCATCCTGACCCATTCACCTAACTGGAGCAATGGTTTAGCGATGAAAGGCGAAAGAGCGCCAACTGGGTTTGGCTGTGTTAAGATAGAGAATACCTCCGGTCCCTGGCGTGCAGAAGACTGCCTAGGTTGTGTTGTCTTTCTTACGCGGCACACGTGAGTGAAGTGAAGCTTACAGAGGAACCGATTACTTGTTTGAGGCTTTTTCAATGAAACCAGAACAAGGGAAGGAGAGGGTGTAGAAATATAAGATCGAGAGTTCTGTTTAAATGCTAGCAGCGTCTTTTGTTGTATTGGGGGATGGAACCTAGGACCTCAGATGGGCAAAGGATCAGTCCTACCACTGAATTATGCCCCTAGCCTTGCAGAAGTCAGCCACTCTGGAGCAGTGTTTGCCAGTACTGATTCTGTATAGTGCAAAGCACATTTTAAAAGTTAATGTGATTAGGCATGTAAATTAATTCTGTTCCCATAATCCTATCATTTAGGAGGTTGAGGATGGAGATCGAAGCGTTCGAGGTCAGCTTCATGGCCTTTGTCTTAAATCTCATATCCGGTGTATATTTTATAACACATTTTAAAATTTGGGACACATTTCAAGTGCTTTAATGGCCATTTGTGCCCGGTGGTGACACTTGGACAGGATGTGCAGTTTTTGAAGGTGCAGCTCCCCAGTTTAGCTTCAAACCATCCAAGATTTGTATGTCTGTTGTCATGTGTATTCCTTTGAAGTTTAAATAAGTTCAATGATGTTGGTATCTGTAAAAGGTTGTTTTAAAAAAGAGCAAAACCCCGTGTTTGGAGGTAGGGAGTGTAGTTCAAAAATAGAACAAACACTTGCCTGGTATATTGAGGTCTTAGGTTCTAGTCCTGGGGAAAGGAGGAATGAGATGGATACCAAGATAACTCAATAGACCTATCCAGATAGTTACAGTCTCTCTCTCTCTCTCTCTCTCTCTCTCTCTCTCTCTCTTTTGTGTGTGTGTGTGTGTGTGTGTGTGTGTGTGTGTGTGTGTGTGTGAAATGCTGCCTCACCCTGGCAGCACTTGTGTGGAAGTTGGCACACAGCAGGTAGCCTGTCTGCAGGCAGTGATCCTGTCTCTGTAGAGCTTTGAGAGACCTGAGCTTATCCAGGAGAGGCACTCGCTGTGAAGAGCTTAGTGACACTGTCAAACAGCAAAGGCCAAAGTTTGGAAAAGCTATCTATCTGCATGATAATGTAATTCTAAGATGCTAGCTGTGGGTCTTTCCCCTTCCATTGTGGGAAGACATGTGTTGTGTGTTTTAAATGAGTGTAGAATTTTCCCAGTGGACAATTTGGTTTTACGATGATACGTACCCTGCTCTGATGTGCCTGGGGTGTCAGTTCCCAGACTCCTTGCTCAGTGGTACAGCTTGATGGCTCATTAGTGTAGTTTATCTTTTTTGTGATTCTTTTCCATTGTAGGAGTGGCATATTTTTCAGAAATAATTGTAGTAAATACTGTTCAGGCTGCTTGCTGTGTGCCAGCTACTATGCCAAGGTTAATTCTAGAATTTAGGAAGTGGAAGCAGGGGGAAGTGATCAGATTAGCCCCTTCCCCATCACCTGCATAGCAAGTCGGGGGTCTGCCTGGACTATGCAACACCCTGTATCAACAAATAGAAAGAGAGAAGAGGGCTAGAGCTGTATGTAATTCAGTTGGTGATACCAGCCTATGACGCATAACACCCTACCTCTGATGCTCAGCATTGTGGAATGGGTATGGCGGTGCATGCTTGCGACTCCAGGGAGGAAGATGAGAAGCACAGTAAATCTAAGGCCAGCATGGGATATATGAAGCTGTCTTTACATATTTAGTTTACCATAGGTGTCCGTGTATAGGAAAAAGCATAGAACTGATAGAATTTGGTACTGTTGATGATTTCAAACATCCACTAAAGTGTCTTAACTTAAGGGGAACCTTCTGTGCCCAGAAACAAAATAGACCCTTTGAGCTGGGAGTGGTGGCACGTGCCTTTAATTCCAGCACTTCAGAGTCCTAGGCAAATGGGTCTCTTGAGTTTTTGCTTTGAGTTCATAAAAGCGTAGCCTGAGCTACGTAGCAAGTTCAGGAGACTCAGGGTTACACAGAGAAACCCTAGTCTCAAATAAATAAATAGGTAAATACATAAATAAATAGATAAATAATAGGACCCTCACTAATTCTTTTTCACCCCCTCAGGGAAAGGTAATTACTGGACTCTAGATCCAAACTGTGAAAAAATGTTCGACAATGGAAACTTCCGTCGGAAGCGCAAGCGCCGATCTGAGGCCAGTAGCAACCTCACTGCATCTTCAGGAACGTCAAAATCAGAAGGGTTGTCCTCAAGACTAAGAGTGAGTGGGAAGCCAGAAGGAGACAGCCCCTCTATGATGAGCTCATCTCAGTCACCAGAGCCTCCAGAGGGCACCAAGAGCACCTCCTCCTCTCCTGGAGTATCCACACAAACCTCCACCCCCTGCCTCAACACTTTCCTCAGCAGCCTCAACACTTTGAGTGTAAACCCCAGCAGCATGAGTACCCAACGAGGCATCCCAGGCAGTCGCCGCCACCTAGGGGGTACCCAGCTGCCCTCCAGCACATTCCCCAACCCTTCCATCCCAGAGGGTTCTCCAGACTCCATGCAGCTTAGTGCTATGAGTGGAAGCAACCAGCTATCTGCCTACTACAGCCCATTTCCTGGCAGCGGCAGTGGGGACCAGAGTAGCCCCTTCAGCAGCCCTTTCTACAACTTCAGCATGGTCAACAGCCTCATCTACCCCCGAGACGGCGGCTCTGAAATGTAAACAGAGCTCCTCAGAGTTTCTCATGTGCACTTGAGATCCGCTTTGAATGTAGGTTCAATTCAGGAGGGGCTGTAGGACTGAGTTTCTGCAGATTCCTGTGAGTTCCTGGATGATTCTACAGATCATTGGCTGTGCTCACAGTAACCAGAGTAGTTCTTAATGCAGCAAACTGTTCCAGGTTTCTCTGGCTGTGTGCCTCTCTGGAGATAAAAGGCACCTCGTTCAGTCCTGGGATGGATGGTAGAACTCTGAGGACTGCATCTACTTTATTACCCACCTGTATATCAGAGCAGCAAGCTCAATGTATACAGATACCTTGGTGGGGAAAAGACCATTGAAGTTTTATGGGTGGGAAAATCAAAGCCATTGGCAGCTGGACGGAGGCATGGGGGATTGGCCAGCTAGTTATTCCATGACAGCATTCTGACTTTTCAAAGAAAGCCAGGTAATCTGATTTTTTTTTTTATAAGAAAACTCTTAAATTTTGTATTGTATCCTTTGGTTCCTATTTCTTCCTGAATCAAGTACAAGTTACCTCTGTCTGGAAATGGCAGGTGCTACTGCAGGAAAGCTTTGTGCCAAATGTTCTGTATATCTGGGATGTCAACTCTTTGCTTCTGCAAACCTTAGTTCCTTGTGGTAAACCTGGCACCCTGCCCCTTTTAGCTTATACCCTAGGTGTTTCATTGAAATGGTACAGGTTCTTATTTGGTTTTTTTGAGACAAGGTCTCTGCATAGCCCTGGATGCTTCTGGAACTGACTATGTAGACCACAATGGCCTTGAACTCACATCAGAGATCTTCTAATAGTGTTACCACACCCAGACCAATCTTGGCTGTTTTTAATGAGAAAGAAACTATTCTGCTCAACTTCTTTTTTTTAAAAGTTATGTGTGTAAATGTGTTTCAGCACCACCCCACTTCTGAGGTACCATCATCTGAGTCATTTTGTAGTGAGGAGAATCTAGCATAGCATCATACAGAGGAGGAACACTTGGTCAGCATTAGTTGAACTCATTTATCGAATGCTAGCAAATGGAAATGGTGGTTGTATTTACAGGAACAGCCCACCACTAAAATGAAGGTAATATTCTGCAAGCTCCCATGCTACCATGTTCTTGAGACTTTGGCATGAAACAGGGACCTCATGAAATTGTGTGTGTGGAGGGGGAATGAATGGGAATGAATCCCTATGTTTTTTTTTTTTTTTTTTTTTTTTTTTTGTTGTTTGGTTTGTTTTTTTTTTTTTTGAGACAGACTTTGCCCCCCTGTATATTTTGAACTCAGAATTTAATTTTTTTTTTTTTAGAAATGTATAGAAAATTTTAAAGGCCTCTTGATGTACAAATTGTATCACCATTGCTTATTAAAACTGTTATGCAAAAAGATAGACCAAAGAAACTACCTGGCCTCATACTTTGCAGATAAAAATTTTTTCTTAATATTTTTGTATGTGAAAAACCATAAGGACTTTTATGAATATTTCTAACAATTCTATATTTGTAAATTAATTTATAATGCCTCCTGAAGCTGCAAAGATTTTTTTTTTTTTCACAAGAAGTACTCTGCATGCTAAAAATAAATTTCTTCAATGGGATGAGTCTTGCCTTTTACTTTGCTGTCACTCAAGCCGCTAGAGGGATTCTGTTGAGAGTAACTGACTTTGCACATTGGATTTGCTCTACCCAACCCCAGGTGAAAGGGCTAGAATAAAAGTTAGTCGTGCGTATTGGGTTTATTTATAGCAGTTCTGTTAGCTTAATTTGAGCAGGGATGGATGAGACTCCGAATCCGTAACAATAGTAAAGTGCTAGCCCAGCCTCTCTGTGGTAAGGCTCCAAGTGGATATGGAAGACAGATTAAGCTGAGTTTCAGTAGTCCAAAGAAAGCCATGCTCGCTCACTATAGGGCTCTTGCAGGGGAAGGAGCTACAGGCTAGAGCTGGAAGTTTGAACTGGGACCCACCCAGGCTGCCCCCCTGTATCATAGGATGCCAGTTAGGTGCCAGAAGCATAAACACACAATAGATAGACATACCTACCCTAGGTGGGAATGTGGTCACAGAGGGTCATATTCAGTCAGGTGAGAACCTTTTAGCTAAACTTTCTTAAGTGTAAGGAGTAGTTGGGAAGAAATGAAAACTGGACCAAGAAGTATTAGAACTAGATCTGGGTAGTTGATTGACACCGAACACTAGAATGATAGCATCCTTTGAAGGCCTGCAAAGTGAGACCCAGCAGAAACACACCAGAGTTTGGCTCTTGCCAGCCATTATCTTAAAGAGCAAAGAAGTTGCTGCTGGGGCCTGGATGATTCCAGGTCAAAGTGCACCAACACCCAGTTACTAGCATGCATCTGTGATCTGTGCTGTTTCTGCCTTAGAACCGTATCAGAAAACTTACAAGTGGGCTAGACCACGCTTTGGGTTGCTTGTAACAATATGGAGAACAAAATGCCTGATAGATAATGTGTAGCTAGGGTCCTTGGGGAGTGAGCTGCAGCCCAGGCGGAGGTTAATATGTCTCCGCTTTCTTTCTGTGGCTTGCAGTGTCCTTTGAAATACAGCAGGGCAGGAGAATTTGGGGGGTTTTACATTTCCATCGTTGCACATATAAAGGAATAGTCCTTTAAAGCCCAGACTGGCCTTCAAACTCACTGTGTAGCAGAGGCTGACACTGACTTCTCATCCTTTCCCGAGTGCTGTGTCACCGTGCTCAGCTCATCTTGACATTTTACAATCCTCTATCTTGAACTTCCTGAGAAAAGGCAGTTGAGGAGGCTTTGAAAACAGCCATGCAGCCTCCCCCTCTCTCCGGCCAACTGAGCTCCCGCATCCCTCCCCAGGCAAACCCAGGCAGGCCAAGAACACAAAAGACTCCTGAACTTCAGAGGAGATTCCCAGGGCCTTCTCTGCCTTCTGAGGATTGGAAGCACCTGTCTTTAGGGTCTGGTTGGCTTTTGTCTCTTTTTCCTACTGTTTCTGGGGTCATTAATGAGAAAGAAACCCCTGGTGCTTTCCCGGGGCAGGAGGTCGGCTGGCCTGTAGGCTGGAGTCCTGGCTTTGGCTTTGCCTTTGTCATGGAAAGCTGTCAACTGGGGCATGCGGTTAGGTGGTGAGGTGGCTGGCACCGCTGAGAAAAGGAATTTCCTGCCAGATTTGGGAACAAAACACAAAGAGGCCTAGCAGACGGGTGCCCTCCTGAATTCCCCTCCAGGGGGCCTAAAGGACAGCCCTTTATCATGTTAAAAAAGGCAAGTGTCACTATTGACTCAGCTGTAAGGTGGCATTGTCCAAACACCGATATTACTAACGTCCCACTCTATCGACCCTCCTAACTGAATGAAAGAGTCAGTACCCAGCCTGGGAGTTTCTATAGCCAGGCCTGATCATTGATCTAAGTGACTGCCTCAGGCAAGCGCTCAAACCGAGATTCAAAAATGGGGTTGGAGATGTGGCTCTCGCCTTTAAATCTGAGCATTCAGGAGGCAGAGGGATGTGAATTTCTGAGTTTAAGGCCAGCCTGGTTGGTCTACAGAGTTAGTTCTAGGACAGTCAGGACTACACAGAGAAACCCTGTCTTGAAAAACAAAAACAAGGCGGGGGTGGGGTGGGGTGGGGGAAGGTATGCATGGTGGAGGTGGCGCATGCCTGGTAGGCAGAGGCAGGCGGATCTACAAAGCGAGTGCCAGGAAGGCAGGACTGTTACACAGAAAACCTGTCTTCAAAAAACAAAACATCACATGGCCCTTAAAAAAAGGCATACATACTGTTCTTACAGAGAACCACTTTGGGTTCCCAGCACCCAAGTGGGGACTCACAGCTGGAACTCCAGTTCCAGGGGATCTGATCATGTTTCTTCTGACTTCCTCAGGCCCCTATACATGCGATGCACATATATGTACAGTCAGGTGCACGCACGCGCGCGCGCAAGCACACACACAAATATTTTAAAATTTTAAATTAAGCTATGTGATGTCATAGCCTATCACACATTACACAGCCACACCAGGGGCCTAGAACCCAGCCTTCTGCTTTATAGTTGGCTTAGTTTCTGTTCCAGGAATTTCCTTTGTGTGGACCATGAGGCTAAATTTTGAGTCTGGGTTGTCTCTTCATGAATGTAGACGTTTAAACCATGAAAAGTCACTTTTCTTTGGCATATCTAACCCCTGGGAAGCAAACCACAGTTCCAGGCTTTGGCTCTGAAGCTGCTCAGGAAAGCCAGACACTGGTTAAGAACCTTGGACCCTAGCAGGGCATGGTGGTCCGTGTCTAATCCCAGCACTCAGGAGGCAGGCAGATCTCCGGGAGTTCCAGGCTAGACTGGTCTACATAGTGAGTACCAGGGAAGCCAGAACTACATAGTGATACTCTGTATCAAAACTCAAAAACAAACAAAATAATTTATTTGGACCTATGGAAAATCTATCCACTGATTCAGTAAACCTCCCTGGACGCCACACCCTGTGCTGGCTTTGAGGGTGTTGACTGTGATCCACTTCCTGAAGTCACTGCTTGGAAGGAAGGTTGGGAAACACACAGGAACCCGACAGGCTGGAACAAATGAGGATTAGTCGAGTGCTTGCCTAGCATGTGTGAAGCCCAGGGTTCGATCCCAGGCACTGCATAAACAGGATGAGATAGTGACATCTGTAATGCTTGCACACGAGAAGAAGCAGCAGATCAGGTGTTCAAGATCACCCTTCAGAATGTAGCACCACAATGCACGAGTCTCCTCACTGCATGCTAGACCCAAAAGCAGGCATTATTAGCACAAGAATTTTTCTCTTCTCCAAGGATGCAACCAATTGACCTCATTGCCACCCCCATTCACTTTTAACTCTCTGTATCTTCACCAACCTACACCTAGGCATAACACAGTTACATAAACTCCCTGAGGATGAAATGGGAAAATAGCAATATCTGCTTCACATAGTTGTCAGGAAAGTTGGCCTACTAGCTCATACATAACCTGTGTGCTAACTGGGCCCTGTGTCCA